AGAGAGAAATGAAATATTAAATAATAAAAAAAAAAAAATTAGAATAATTAAACTTAGATAAGCTACTATTGACTTTTTTCTTGTGACATTCTTGTGATTTTTTTTTTCTTGCAATGTTTTTTATTCTTGCACCTTTTCCATATTTCTCCAATCTTGATATTTGGAGTAAAATTGAATGTTACTGATCTCTCAAACTGTTACTTATTTATGATGGCAGATTTTAAGGAGAATCATTGATATTTTTTAACTTTAATAACAGACACAACACAAGTAATTCATTTTTTTTCCATTCAAATTGATTGCTTTCTTTTGCTGACCTACATTTGTTATTTTGTAATTATTTTATTTTTTTAATTATTCTATCCCAAGCAAGGCAATAAAGCCACTAGGATACAATGAGTTGCCAAAAGTGAAAGGAAGAAATAGGACAATAAAAAAACAGGATTGTAGGAGACAGATGATGATGGTTGACATTGAATTTAAATTTTTTAAGGTTGTAGTTAATGGGGAAGCTGTTAAGCAGAAGGGTTCCAAAAGCGATAACTGCAAGAGGAGAAGCAAATAGCATTGAACTTATGATTACAACTAGCGATTTCAACATTGAAATTATGAGATCTTTTTGCTATGGGGAAACTTTTGTTCCTCATGATTCTATGAAAAACATACCAAATGGTTGTGTACATTTGTCTTCAGTTTAATCACTCTACTATTAATGACGTTTATGTTCCTATTTTCTTTTTCTTTATCAGTTTTGGATTTATTAATTCAACGTTTCTACAGTTGATAGAGAAAAAGTCCTAAAACTTATTGGAATGTATACTCTTTTGATAAATAGGTATCCTTCATATTTTTCCTTTTGGTGTATTTGTCAAGATGGGTCGGGGGGATCATGTTATACTTCGATTCATTCAGGCAGACCATCCTGGGTATGACAATAAACTGCTTCTGCATCCTGGGTAAGATGATAAACTATGGCAATCAGCAAGGTCCCTGATCAGGAGGTTTTGAGGAGCGTGGAACCACTTCTTAATTGCTGGTGTTCCCAGGTCCACACTGACCCAGGGTGGTAGCACCTGTTAGAGTCCCAGTGAAAGTGTAAAAATAGGTTTTGATACCAGAAATACTTTAAAAAATTATTACCAGCAATACATTTTTGAGAAAAAATTATTACCAGCAATACATTTTTGAGAAAAAATTATTACCAGCAATACATTTTTGAGAAAAAATTATTACCAGCATCCGCAGGATTTCAACATATGGCCATAAGCCTAAATGTATGAGGATGTGCTGAAAAGTTTTCAGGCAAAACAAAGAAGAGATTCAGCCCCCCCCGCTCCACACACAAAAAATAACAACAAAAGTTTTTTGTTATTTGGTCAGATTTTAGGAAGTGAATCAGGCAGTCAATTTTCAGCACTCCTTGCCATATAAAACCTCATCTTGGAAGTTGAAACCAAAATATTTTTTTCAAATTTTTGTTACTCTATTCTTCAGTTAAGGCCAGAAGTATTTACAGGGCTTGACTAATTTTAATTGGGTATTCTACCTGTCAACAATGGCTTATGAGATAGAAAAGGAAAATATTGTGAAATAAATTCAACATCAACTTTTACGTGAATTATGTCATAAATGAAAGATTGCTTGGGCAAAATTCTATGATAAACCTTGCACAGCAATTTGATATTTTTTTTTTTTTTTTTTTATTATGCAGTAAGGTTCACCCTGTACAAGGCTCAATGGCCACTTAAGGTAGAGAGTTATGTCAGGAGGCGATTTTTGCAGATAGAAAGGGAAGATAATGGTTAATCCTAGCTTTGAACATGTTAAGATTGTAGTGATCAGAGAAACATCCTCTTGGGAGTTGGTTCCACAGGGCATAGAGGGAATGTGGGTGGTCTGCTACTATGTAAGTGACATGGCATGTCCTTGAAGTGAAGATTTGAACTGGCGGGACCAGGGAATGTAGTTCATCCAAGCACTTTCCATAGAAGTAGCAATAGAGCAGCAAGAGGCTTGCTACATTTTGCCCATGAGAGAGAGGATAGAGGGTGGAGAATAATTCATCACCTACAAGGGCCTGTACATACTTTTGGGCTCTATCAAGGCTGCAGAGTGAGGTCTGGACTCCTGAACAAATATGGCAACAGTTTTGGCCTGATCTGACTCTTGTTGAGGATAAGCAGGATGAGTTAAGTATCTACTGGAGCAGTGCAGGGAGACTTCTATAATCTTTTAGGAAATCTGACTTACACCAATGATGTACAGTAATGTGAACTTTTAATTTGAAATAAGATTAGTTTTGCAAATATATGGGTGAATGTGCAATGGCCTTCATTGGCAGAGCTTATAACTGAATTAGATATTCCTGTACTTGATGGAACTTTTTAGAATGTCAAAATTTGAATATTTGCAAATCGAGTTCTCCTTGTGATCATATCTTTATAGTCCACTCGTATAATCTCATCATTGTCACTATTTAAAAAAAAAAAAAGTTAAAAAAAAAAAAAAGAAGACTAAAAAGGTACCTTGTTCCCTGTTACCCATTCTCTACCCAGCAAATCTTGCATTCATAAGGGTACCAGTTATCAATATACTGGTATCTCAAGGTCAGGCTGAGCAACCCAGTACTAATAAGAATTTGTTATATTTTTCAAGTACCTTGTAGTGGGAGTTATAACTCTGAGTAAATAATTATAACCCCTCCCCCACAACATTTATATATACAGTGTAACCTAGATATAAGAGAGTTGTTGGGACCCAAGAAGAAGTCTCTTATATCCGGGTTTCTCTTATATCCGGGTTTGGTCTATTTTATATTCATTAACACAGGCTCTAATTTGGGACCAGAGAAAATCTCTCTTATATCCGGGTTTCTCTTATATCCGGGTTACACTGTACAAAAATACTCATAAAAGGAGAAACGGCAAGATGTGGAAACAACAAAACAAGTATTTATTATCTGGTTGTATTCTGATGTTGGAAACAGGAGACAGTAAGTAAAATTGTGAGTTTGGGGTCAAATGTAGATCAAATATGGATTGGAAACGAACAGAATGTGTTCAGATAATTTAGTTGGAAAATCAATAGAAAGTGTTTGGGGTTTTCTTACCTTGAATATTTGTTGAGTGCTAAAAGATTAATGTTAGTATTATGGCCCGAAAAAGGAGATAAAATTTTTGTTGTACATGTTAACAACTTGTCCATCTGTACTGCTTGTCTGATAGTGAGAACGTTACATGTTTGTGCATGTAGAGGAGAAAAGTGGCGTTGATTCTCATTAGTTTAGAATGAGTAAATCAATGATAATTATAAGTGTTATCATTATTTTATTATAATTATTTTTTGACACTATAATTAATTTTTAATATTTTTATAGACACAACACCCTATATTTCTAAAGCACAATGTATATATGTGTCTCTCTCTCTCACATTTGTGATATATATATATATATTTCAATAAAGGTGCAATCAATTTACAAATTCTTGAATTATTCATACAAAAACAAAGGTTAATGATTTAATTGGTGAGAAATCCATCGTGGCAAACAATTCAAATAATATACAAAAACCCCTGAACCTGTTATGAATGAAAAGATCCTTGTTTTTATAAATTTCTGTTGCATTAGTTCTTATTTTTACAAGCTTTCGTCTGTTCCTACAGACATCTTCAGGTATGGAATAGATGTTGTTCTTGTTTTTTTCTCTCAGTAATAAGAGGACAACGAAAATATATGTATTGTTGTATCCGAAAAATGCTATTAGAAATGAGTTATTGTTTTTGGGATGCAGTAGCAACGCTGAGTTTGATTTTAAATTTTACAGTTATGTGTTCTTGTACAAATATGGTGATAAGTTTAATTCTTTTTTACTGGTAAATTTTCTGTCAAAGTGGCATGAACTATATTGTTCAATAATTACAGTAATGTCGCACTTATTATCCAAAAAGTTGCACTTGGATCAGTTATTTTAATTTCAATAAAGGTGCAATCAATTTACAAATTCATGAATTATTCATACAAAACAAATACAAAGGTTAATGATTTAATTACAGAAATCCATCGTCGTAAAACAATTCAAATAATATACAAAAACTCCCGAACCTGTTAAATCTCGCCAATTAAATCATTAACCTTTGTATTTGTTTTTGTATGAATAATTCATGAATATATATATATATGTATATAGTTTTAAGGTATGCTATATTTATGGGTTAATATTGCATTTAGCATGAAACAGACTGTCACCTCTGGGTGTTGACTTCAATGTCCACTTAAAATTTATATATATATATATATATATATATATATATATATATATATATATATATATATATATATATAAATTTTCATTGAGTGCACAGATACTATGCTGCTCCTAGGCAGAAATGACAATCTATCAATTATCTCATTATACATACATTAGTTTAGAAAGGGTGTGTCAATGATAATTCTAATTGTTATAATTATTTTTTTATGGACATTCCAGGCTATATTTATAAAGCACAATATGTATGTCTGTCAATCTCTCTTTTTCACATTTGAGATTTTTATATATATATATATATATATATATATATATATATATTTATAAAACACTTGACATTGAGTGCACAAATACTATGCTGTTCCTTTACAGAAATGACGATTCATCTATCAATCTCGTCATACATAAAATATTGGTTTGTTTTGTTAATTATACTTTGAACAAGTCATTTTACCATGCACTTTCTTTCATTAATGGTAATATTGTATTTTAATGTTATTCTTACCTTTTAATACCAGTAATATTTATAAGATACTAACTTTAATGGCTGGTCAATAGTTAATTTTTTTGTTTTGTTTTTGCATACAAGTCTTACTGATCCTTTCTCTTCCCAGACTTTTATGAAAATTTTCTGTTGTTCCTTGGGCAGGCACTTAATTATCAGAATTTTACTCCAATTTGACACTATTGACTATTTGATAAATTTATTGAATTTAATATCTTTTTAATTTTTAGTGTGACCAGGTGAGCTATGAACAGTTTCGCTCCTGGGTGAATCAGCATCCAGATGCCACTCTCCTGACCAAATGGTTACTACTTGAACCTCTCAGTGTGACACTTTCTAACGACATGGAAACACCAACATTTTACCAGACATTGGCTGGAGTTACACATTGTAAGTAGTCAAGTATACAAGTATACTTTTTTTTTTTTTTTACTTACACAGGACGCAGTCCAATCATTAGTTTTCTGAGTAGGGACTTCTTTTAAAGGCAAATTTTGTTTTTATTACTCTTAAGTCTCTATGTAATTTGGGCTTTTTTTCTTCATTTTTTTTGTGCCTTGTGAAAATATTTTAAAATTGTAGTTAAATAAAACGTATTCTAACCTAAACATCCAAAAAAAATCTTTAAGTATACAAATAGAAAAAATGCCATAAGAATTGTTGCCGTTAACAATAAAACTTTTAAAAAAATCCAGACAACATGCATTTAATAGATGTCAGAATTTGTTCAAAAATACATCCCTACTCCTACCTAAATGTAACCCTTTTTCAAACGTAACTAATAACTGATACAACAAAAGTTAATGAATATGATCACGCAACCACCCCTTGTCTGGATGAATGGATTTCTTTGTATCCTTGGAAACTGTAAATTATGATTTTTGCCGTGCCTTTAAAACCCAGTAAATTTTAAAAATAAGTTACTCCAAAATTCGCTTGAGGATGAAATGGAACTAATGTCTTTAATTTAATTACAAAATTAAATTTGAAGCTTTTAGCTTTCATTTTTGAAACATGGTTAGAACTGTGTAGTGAAAAAAACCATATTTTTAAATCGGTTAATTTATATTTATATATATATATCCATCCGGCACTGTGGTTCACTATTGAAAAAGAGTCCAATCATCAATTGGCCTTTTTGGATGTATTAGTACATCGCACATTAACAGGTTTTCTCACTTCCGTTTATAGAAAACCTACTTTCGCAGGGTTGTACATGCGTTGGGACTCTTTTTGTCCCACTAAGCGCAAGATTAACATTATTAAAACCCTCCTACATAGAGCATTAAAGATCTGCTCTGAGCCTTTCATGAATGACGAAATCGACTTTATTAAGGATACCTTATGTAATTTGGGTTATCCTCTTGATACTGTTAATTCAGTTATCCATAGTAAAGTTGAAGAGTTCAGAAGTGCCGAGCTCTACACTGTCAAAAAATGCCCAGTTTACCTCAGATTACCCTGGATTGGTACCAAATGTGAAAAAATAGCTAAACAAATTTCATCCAATGTTCGTTGTTGTTTTTTCTCTGCTGAAGTTCAGATTATTTTTCAAACTCGGCCTATGTTTCGAGCTACGTGTAAAGACGTTCTCCCTCCCCATCAAATTAATTCAATTATTTACAAATACGTTTGTAGTTGCAGAGCCGACTACATAGGGAGAACAACTCAACGCTTAGACATGAGAATAAAACAACACGTTCCCACAAAAATTAGAAATCACACCTTGCCTTTGAATGGACTCGTCCCGAACACCTATAGTTCCGCCATATGCGAACACCTATGAAAGAACAGAGATTGTGCAGCCAAATTTAGTGTTGACTGATTCACCGTGTTGTCCCGGTCTCACTCCTTATTTCATCTAAAGGTTCTGGAGGCACTTTACATCGGGTCCCACAAGCCTTCTTTGTGCAAACAACGTGAGTGTTTGTTGGGACTCACTGTCATTTGTCTCTAGTTCCTTTCATTTTTTTTTTTTACAATTCCTTTTATTGTACATTTTTCTGTGTTAATTTTAAATCTCCCATTGAAGCTTGAAGAGTGGGAGTGAAACCGGTTGCTTCACCCGTTTTTTTTTGGTTTTTTTTTTTAAATATGTCTCGTAATATTAAATTTTATACTTTTATTTCGATCATATATATATATATATATATATATATATATATATATATATATATATAATAAATAAAAGAACTAAACAATGTTGATGTGATCAACAGTAAATTAAAGTGCTCAATACTTAGGCTATCTAGACAAAAAAAATGCTTCACTATGCCAATCCTCAATGAAGGACAGGTTAGTTTGCTACCCAAGTTTCATGTTCTTGAAATCTACAGGTGACTAGAATGCCTGAAGATTGTGATAGCATGAAACTTGTGTGTGTGAGAGAGAGATTAGGGATCAAATATAGATCAGAATCTTACAGAATCATATGATAAAAAACAAATAGGAAATGATTATAAATTTAACATGTTTCACTTTTATTAAAGCTTCATCAAAGAATGAGATGAAAAAAAAGAAAAAAATTCTGGTATTTTTACTGTAGTGTTGTTTGGTTTCAGTTGGTTAATCATGTTTCATGTGCATGCGTTTGTTTATCAAGTCGAATACACATGAAACCTGACTAACCAATCAAACAACACAGAAGTAAAAATAACAGAATTTCTTTGTTCTTTATCTTGCATATAATCTCAAGCCATTAATGGTAATTACGTTTTTCTTTTTGTGTGTGCCTGTGTGACAATTCATCTTTATCCTGCCTCACTTGTAAACCAGTCTGTTAACTGGGATCTGATTCATGCATTTGGTTATGAAATCAACTTTTTAGTAATAATATTTTTTTTATGAATATCCAGAGCATTTTGTTTTTAATCCATGCTACTGTAACATAAACATAATTTAATTTTCGTTTTTTATGTTCAGGAAAGCAAATTGATTATCAGTTCTGTAGCAACAACCATATTAAGAAAATTTCTGTTCTTTAGATTTTGAGTATAAAGGATGAAATTACGCATGATAGGAAAGCATTGATTTTAATTAATTTGGTATTCATCTTTCAATTTGAGAGAGATGTAGTTATAAAATAAGCCGAGCAATTGTTTTTGTTTCAGTGGAGGAAACAGATATCAATGAATTGGAGAAATGCTATTGGGTCCTGAAAGCACAATCCAAATCTGGCCGATTTGACCAGGAGACATTCAAGCAATTGATCTGCCCACCTGTGCCAGACTTGATCTGTGAGGGTAAGTCCCAAATGGAAATTTACAAAACAAAAAATGGTTGCTATGGTTATCTTGATGAATTTTTTATTCCTTCCATGGGAGTAAAGGAGAAAATATTAAATCCTTTTCAAAAAAAAATAAAATAAAATAAATAATTGCAGAATACTAAAATTAAATTTATGTTTCTGATTTTTTTATGTAAAAATATAAGTGGCATTGAAAATGAATGGGAATTTAAAAAAAAAAAAAAATTCTTTAGTCTTATTAAATACTGCATTTCCTTTTCCATTATTTTAAAATAAAAAATACTCAAATTTGTAACTATGTAATATATACATACACATATACACGATATATATATATATATATATATATATATATATATATATATATATATATGTCTCATTGAATAATTTAGACAAGTTTTGTCTGCTTATTTTCAATTGGATCCTTTCATATTACCAGACAAGCTTTTTGGTGTCATTATTAAAAGAGAAAATTTCTGTGTTGATACATATTATTTTATTCTGAGTACTTTTGACATAGCACAATGTTATCATCAGGGTGTTGTTTATTTAAAGACAAATATTATAGTGTTCATCATTTTCAAAGACAAAATTGCTGTATTCATCTGAAAGCTAAATTTTTTTACTTGTGAAGTGAAGAACACTGAGTGAGCATGTGATCGCTTGACACTGCTTCAGGGGAGATAACTAAGTATGGTGTGTTCAATTTTTAAAAAATAAGTATTAAAATCTATTAGTGCAAACCTTGATATTTTAAATTAAGGGTTGTATACATTTTAAAACATTTGTGCAGTATTCATAATTAATTTTATTAAAGGTTTTGTTTCAATCTTTTAATATAAATAGCCTTGAGAATTTTTAGTTTGTTATTTTCATGAAAAAGTATAGATGTATTTTCACCATTTTCCGAGTTGCAAATGTGGACAGGTACACTTTTGTAAATATTTAGAAATGTTGGACATATCATTCAAATGAAAACTCAGTGGCCGTGACAATGTAGTCATAGTGTGTCCAACATAAATATTATTTTTTCTGTTGGAGATACAATCATCCAGAGGACATTTAAATTTATAAACAATGTTTGTTTTCCACAACATGTTAGTAGATGAAGAGTTGTTATGAAGGATTGAATTAGCTATAGTAGATTTAGTGTAGTATATAATTAATTTTACTTTTTTACTAGGACCTATGGTGGATATATTAGTATTTATTAAGTTTTTAGGATATTTTCATCTTCTTTATAATTAGAATGTATTTAGTTGTTATATATGTAATTAATTTATTTGGGGTTAGTTGAAGAAGTATTATATTCTATTTGCTTAGTATTAAAATTTCTGATAGAACATCTTATTTGTTCATCAACATTATAATTAGGGAAGTTATTATTAAGTTTGTTTTATATTTTTTAATTCACTGTAGAAAATGTTTTGTGGATGAATTAATTTTCTCATGGTTTATTAGGTTTTTCATAATTGCTATTTTATAGTAATTTGGACATTGACTCTTAGAGTTAAGGATGCATGAATTTATGCTGGTAGTTTTTTTTATATGTGGCGATAGTGAATTTATTGTTATTAGTGTTTATATCTAGAAAACGAATTTTGTTGCTCTTAAGTTTATATGTAAATTTAAGGCCAGAATTATCTTGGAATTGTTTTGGGGGTTGATGTATTTCTTCCATATTTTTGACTAAGATAATGATATTGACATATCTTAGGTAGATGGAGTTTTTTTGTTTTCTTTTTTTTTTTTAAATGTTAGATATTATTTTCAAGATTAGACATATAAAAATTGCTAAAAGTTGAACCAGAACTGAACCCATGGAGATGCCATGCAGTTGTGTGTTTGTGTGTGTGTGTATATATATATATATATATATATATATATAAAGAAATATAGTCTTAAGGTGTGCTATATTTATGGGATAAAGTGCTCAATATCAGAGATAGAGCGTGTGTAAATATAAAAGTGAACATTGAAGTCAACACTTAGAGGCGACAGTCTGTTTCATGCTAGACACAATTGTCAGGCCACGAATGCTGTTATTTTTCTCGGCTATTTATATATATAATCAACTTTTTAGTAATAATATTTTTTTTATGAATATCCAGAGCATTTTGTTTTTAATCCATACTACTGTAACATAGACATAATTTCATTTTCATATATATATATATATATATATATATATATATATATATTTTTTTGTGATCATAGAATGGGACATCAGTAGTGCAAATTAAAAGTAGTTTCTGTAATATACTAGGTCTAATTTTAAGTGGAGTTAGAGATTTATTATTGTATATGTTTCTTATAATAATATCAATAGTTTTGTTAATGGGGCCATTAGGGAATAAATTTTCAATGTCAAGTGGGGCTATGGTTTCATTTTTAGGTTTTTCATTTTTTTAGAATTTGAATGACTTCAAGAGTTGATTTTTATGCTGTATTTACTGGAAAGGTATGGTGTGATAAGTTGGTTGATGATTTTTGTTAATTGATATACAGGAGTGGGAATTTGCGATATAATAGGATGGAGAGGGTAGTTTTGTTTGTGTTTTTATAGTGCCATATATATATAACTGGGCCTATAATCACCCTGTTCAGCATTATTGGCAGTGATCAGTTCATTTTTAATTTTAGGTGGTTGGATTCTTGTTAATTTTTTAAAATTTTGTGTCATTGAGTATTTGTTCCAGTCTTGTGTTATAGTCCAGTTTGTTTAAGACAACAAAGATGTTAGTTGCTTTTATGACGGTTATATCCAGATAATTATTGCAAAATAAAATCATCACATTTGCCTTGATAAAGTCCATCAGATAACGAAATGCATTCGCTAAAACTAAGTATAGTTTTCCTCTTGTCTTTTCATTCATATATATATATATATATATATATATTTTTAACATGTTTTAATATCCTAAAATAAATAATATTTAGCTCTACTCTCTATTGAACACTCTTTTAAATTAAATGCTATGTACAGTTGAATTATACCTGTCATTTGTTCTCATTTTACCTGGAGATATATATATATATATATATATATATATATATAGTACTTGTGTTGAATATTTTTTAAATCTAGCAATTTATCAAAGGACTATACTGTCTTTCTACCTTAGCTTTGTTAAGTTATTTTAAACTTTGCAAGTATTTCAACTCCATATCTAGTATCAAAGATTTTAACTAAGTTTACAATATGAGATGGGGATTCTTCCTCTCTTAAAAAGAAAAATACTTTTAGTTTTTCAGAATTCTACAACTGAACTATCATTTGTCATTGGGTCTATAAAAACTAAAATGATTGTTGTAGAGTGGTTTCGCAGTGGAGGCTTGTATTTGTACTAAGTCGGTCCTAAAATAGGTTCGACGTACAAAATGTTAGGAACTTGATATAATAGGTAATGACACAGTAATCTAGTTGTGGTGGCTGATACTTTAATATCCGACTAACGGTCGTCCGACATCGACTGACTGACTCCCTGAGCGACTCCTACTACTCCTACTTATTATAGGTGGGAGAGTCTATTAACTATAGAATAGGTGTGTTCCACTATAACAAAGATAAAAAAAAAAAAAAAAAAGCCTGATTTCTTATAGATCTTGTATTCAAAATTTTGCTTGAAAACTGTTATAAATATTTTTCTTTTTTAAAGTGATCACTTTCATTACATAACTTGTCACTTCATTAAAATAGTCCAGCATTTGATAAAGCCATCATTGTATCTTAGACAATGAAAATATAGGTGAAGTTTATTTTAAATTTCAGGGCTTTTCCTTGCCTTTGATGAAAATCGAGACAACCATATTGACTTTAAGGAAATGGCCTGTGGGATATCTGCCTGTTGCCGTGGCCCCAAGACAGAACAACAGAAATGTGAGTTTTTTTTTTTTATAAACCTTGTGTGAGTCTGTGTGAATCCATATTATAATAGACAAAAGTTTTCTCAGAATTCTGGCTATCTTGAGAAATGTCATTTTCTGAAACATCTCCGTTCAAATCACGTTCCTAATTTCACCCAAACATTTTTGGATTTTGTCAGTCACTGTTCCAAGGCTGCACACAACAACAGAGACAACTACTTTCTTAATTCTCTACAAATATGCTATCACAGGCTTCAAATCTTGATGTCTTTTCCCTTCTTCCTAAACTACCCTTATCGTCCTAGGTAAGACGATAAACTACATCCAACAGCAAGGCCTATGATCAGGAGGTTTTGAGGAGTGTGGAACCACCTTTTAATTGCTGGTGTTCTTAGGTCCACCCTGACCCGGGGTGGTAGCACCTGTTAGGATCCCAGCTATTGGCAAATAGTCAACATCCAAACTTATGTAAAAATAGGTTTTAATACCAGAAATACTTTGTAATAAAAAAATTATTATCAGCAATAATTTTTGAAGGAAAAATTATTATCAGCAATACTTAAAAAAAAAAAAAAAAAAAAAAAAAAAATACCAGTAATACAAACAGCTATACATTTTTTTGAAAAAAATATGACCAGCTATAGATTTCTTTAAGGAAAAATATTCTCAGAAATAGATTTTTGAACAAAAACATATTACTAGCAATAAAAATTTTGTTGGCATTAAATAACCCATTGAGGTTGATATGCCGTAAAACAAAAACCAAACCAAAATCAACTAATTGTTTGCCTTACATGGTGAATGAGACCGAGAAGTGGCCTATTTTATTGGCTAGGAAGAAATCCCAACATGCATTTGTATATTTTGTCTATAAATCTGGGGAGGGGAATGTTTTTGCTGTTTTTCATATCAACAATTAATTTTTTGCTTACCTGGTGATTGATATGGAACATGCTATCTCTCAATAATGTGCTTCAGAGAAGGCTTGGCAGAAATGCCCGATTGTCACCAATGTGATCTTGACTTAGAAGAAATATCCAAGCATACCACCTTCCATTTTCCACTGTTGCACCCATTCTGGGATCATGCTGTATTGATCTTAAACATCTCATGTTTATTGACCTCACATACATGTGTGATAATGTGCCACCCCTGTGGTCTGGGGTGAAACAGTTTGTGTTTCTTACACTGCTAGCTGTGGCAAAAATGGTGGTGTGGGTGATGCAGATGGGGTGAATTTTATAGGATGAACATTATTATCATCAGGAACTGATTGAATTCTTTGGGCATCAGCTCAGGATGAAGATTAGAACTGATAGAAAGTATTTGCTCTTGGCAGATTTCAGCAAAAGGTGGATGCAAGCTTCGAACATGGTTTACATGAATCGGGCCAATCTTGATTTCTTTTTTTAAGTCCCAACAGGGTGGATTCCTGATGGACACATGCTTGTTTAAGCTAGTCTCCTTTTGTTCAACTAGTTAATGTGAATGACTGTTTTTCCTGGCCTGGTCTTGGTGTTCTCTTTTGTTATGGTCTTTGTCAAGATTCCCAATCTCCCCTGTTTGTTTATTGCCTTTTTTTTTTATTGTGACTCCATCAGCTTTTTATATTAACCCAATCCAAAATTTATTTTGTCTCTCCCTTATATCTAGCAAGCGAGTTTCTTGATTCTGCTTATCTGCAGAATACAACAGATGCTCTTACTTTTTTTTTTGTGGGTTTGACGGGTCTTACTAACACAGTGTTTATTTTGATTTGAATGTTTTGTTTTCTTTTATTTTTTGTTTAATAGGTTCATCCCCTTCACTTTTATTTCATAATAGATAAAACTGTGAAAAAAAAATAAGAAAAATATATTTGTACATATTTAAAAATTTTTGCACCATGGGTGTTTTAGTATGTACCCAGTGAATATGTGGTATTGTGGTACGTGTTGGATTGAATGGAGAAGGATAGGTTCTTGTGGTGATTGAGTCAATTGTTAGATTGAATGGATCACAAATTGGATTAGCTAGGTATAGGAGAATCAGTGAAGACCAGCCTTTCCTCATTCCTCCCTTGGGCTTGTGCTACATAACGATTTGTAAATTGTTAAAATAAATCAGCAATGGAACCAACAGTGGACTGGAAGATGTTTGCCTGTAATTTTGGGATGGTGATGGTTTCAAATTAATTGCCTTACAATGAGATTAACTGCAATTCCCTCGTTTTTACTTTTAATAGATGATTGTTGGAAAAGAGAAAAAAAATCCTTCAATATTGCCCAATTTATCTTGACTTGTTCATCATAACATTTGTAAATTGTTTCTTGTTTCCAAGTATTTAATTCCTGTGCCACACTCAGCCCTTCTCAATTTACAAGTTTATGCTTTTCATGGCTGATCCTGGCATGGAACATCCATCCACATGTTACAATTAATCATTGGTTGGCTTATGGCCACATCACATTGAAACACTGGTTCCCATGTGATCATCGAAGTTAAACAACATAGAAACTAGTCACTACCTGCTTGGGAATACCAGGTGCTGTAAGCTTGCATGTGCGGGTCGTGTAATGGATAACTTGGAATTGTTAATTGGAGAGCCGAATCCCAAGTTGGGTTTGTTATATTCTCTTAGGCACAAATACCCTTGGGAAATGTATGAATCCATCTCTTATCCCTCCTGCTATGGGTTAATTAGCAAAACCTGTATCACTGAATCATTATTATCTCAAAAAAATTCTTCCAATATAAAAATATTTTCTAACTGCTAAGTGTTAATAAGCCATAAAAAATGAATCAGTCAACCTCATCATTGGAACTGATCTGAGTTGGATTTGGTGAAACTTTTGTCATTGTTTCTTTTTTCTCTGATTTTGCATTAGTCTTAATCAAAAACATTTTGAGCAGTCAAGATAGTTGGATACCAGAGTGGATGATTTGTTGCTCATTCCTCCTAATTTTTGAATGAAGGATACTAAGATAAGAAATGCCATTGATGTGGCTTTGATTCAGGGGGGATCCCAAATTAGCATGACATTTAAATCAAAAATTATTAAAGCTATGTTCCATTATGTTGAATTTTTCAAAAGTCAGTTGCCTTTAATATATAATGTTTTAATGAATTTCATATTTGCAAAGAATTTTTTTTTTTTTTTTTTTGCTTTCAGTTTGTTTTAAAGTATTTGATACAGACCATGATGGAAAGCTTGGAAAAGATGAGCTTAAAGCTATGCTGGAGGCCTTGATGGTGATACGCAAGGAAAATAGCTCTCCTGAGGAATTGGTAAGCCAACTTAATGCGTATTGAGAACTTATATTTACCTTTTTCTCTTACCAGTTTTGATGCAGAATCATTATTTTTTATGTTTTATCTGATCTCACTTACATCTGAGTTTTCTCTGTAACAGATTTTGTAACAATCGGTTCTTTCTGTTTTATCCAGATTGCAATGATTTGAAAAGATAGTCATGCCAATGCATTTTTTCTTTTCTTTTTTTCTTGTTTTTTTATTTCTTGTTTTTTTCTTTTTTGACTCTCTTTTTTCCTTTTCTTTTTTGACTCTCTTTTTTCCTTTTCTTTTTTGACTCTCTTTTTTCCTTTTCTTTTTTGACTCTCTTTTTTCCTTTTCTTTTTTGACTCTCTTTTTTCCTTTTCTTTTTTCTTTTTTCCTTTTCTTTTTGACTCTCTTTTCCTTTTCTTTTTTCTTTTTTTTTCATTCTATATGTTTCCTAGAGACTTTTTGTATGTTTTACACAATTGTAGTATAAATTCAGTGGCTGCTAGATTTTATTTTTTTTATTTTTTGTTTTTTTTTTAGCTTGCTGTTTTCTGACTTTGATCATTGAGTCAAATGCCAGAAGTATAAATGTTTCTTGCCTGATTTATAAAACTTTCAATTTTATTATTCCATATACAGAATTCTAATTCTTCAACCTTTTTTTTTTTTTTTTTTTTTAAATTTGGATAAAAGTCACCATCAAAGTACTATGGCTGATACATCCATGGGTCAAATGGTTCAAAATCAACAAGGCTCACAGCACCATGCCATGTCTTGTGTTTGTTTCAAACCATTGTATTGAGGTGTCCATTATTTTCTGTTACAGCTCAAAGTAGGGATGTCAGTTCAACATTCAGTGGTGGAGATTTCAGCAGCTGGTTTAGAATTCAGTTTTCCTTTTCCTAGGCAGGTTGCCACCCAATACAAAAAGCCATTTAAAAATTGCCAGGTCTTCCATTTTGAGCTCCTGGCAAGCACTTAATTCATAAAGAATTTTTCTGCTTGAATTCCAATCTCCTTTGTTGCCTTGTTGATAGAATTGACACCAGATCTAAATATTTGGTCCCATGATTCGGCTTGATTTTGAGGTTCTAAGTGACGATATGGAAAGTAAAAAAAAAAAAAATTCACAGATTTTAAAGAATCAACTGTGAAAGGCCAATTTTTTTTAAAAACAACAAAGATAATTTTACAAAATCTGTTAATGAATAAAAAAACTCTTCACTTCAAAAGAAAAGCTTATTGTTACATGATTCCTGATTTACTGATATTGATGTTAATACTTAACAAAGTTATACATAACTTGCCAACTCTCAATATTTTATAAGGACAGTTTAAAAAACTGAGGGCTTTGAATACTGATTTTCAAGGCAAACACAATCATCTTACTCTCAATCATGCCTTGAGACATAATAAGTTAAACTAAAAGCTTTGTGATTGAAGCAGTTACATATAAATCATGGGTGCCAGTGTTTAATCCAAAATAAAACCCAGGATTTTGAATGTTGATCTACAAGGCAAATAGTATCTCCCAATTGGAAGTTGGGCATAACACACTCCTCTACCTCTGCATTTGACTTGTAACGCACAAAGCTAAGTTTAATAAATATCTATAAACACTGGCATATGTTGTATAATTGTGTTACACAGCTGAAAAGGAAATTACCAATTTTGGTGCTATTTGATCTTGGTTTTATTACCATTCTCTTGGTGTGTGAAAGGAATGGTGAAGCAATCGTATAATTATTTCTCTTGGGTTTTTATAACAAATTTGTTGTCAGTTTAGAAGCCTTTTATTAACAGCCAAATTGCAGCAAAAGAGTTTGGCAAAATTTAAGCTTTGTGCCTGCAGCAAAACAGTACATCAAAAGGACAGTTTTTCCCTTGACACTGCTATTATTTTAACTACCTTCACTTCCTCAGTAATGTCTGTTGTTTGAAAAAAGCAATGATTAGAATTTTAATAAAACCCAAACACATGAAATCGAATTTATACATTTTCTTTGTTCTTTGTGAATTTACAACGAAAATATTAAACACTATTTATTTATTAGATTGTTTATTTACAAGAATAATTTTATATTTACAACATTCTAAAAATGTGAACCAACTAATGCAACACAATGTTTATCATTTATCAATTTATAAAAAAATAAATATAAAAACAATTTTTTTATTCCTAAATTTATAAAAATTTACTAAATCATAAAAATATTCCCTCCCTTGGCAATATTTATTGCTGTTAAAAGCAATGACTAGAATTTTAATAAAACCCAAACACATGAAAGTGGAAAATTACAACAAGAATTAATCTGAGACCTAAAATAATCTGAGAAGAAAGTGAATTATGTCCAGAAAATCATGTTTATTCAATTTTTGTTTTATAATGTATTGATATTTTTATAAAATTATGAATGATTTCTTTTCGCATTTATGTCTTTATAAAATGGTAAACAATAAATTATTATAAAAGCTAAGCAATAAATATCGCATTGTACTTGGTTCATACAATATTATAATCTTGTAAATAAATATTTCCAAGGGTGTGAAGGTATTAAGATATAGCCATCCTTCTGACACATCATTTTTTTTTTTTTTTTTGCAGGCACAAAGGTTAAACTTTGCCAAAAGTTTCCTGCTTGTTATATATCTGAAAATATCTATTATGAAATGAAGATACAATTAGAATGTAAAATATGCAGAGATTAACATTAAAAGAATGTAATCAAAGAAAATCATTTTGTTAATCACTGAAAAAAAATAGTTGAAAATTTTAAATTCATTTCTGTTATACTTCTAGGAAGATGATGTATTCCATCAACTTGATCCAGAGGTTGTTGCCATGGAGATTTTGCTGTCTCATGACAGTGATCAGGTGAGGAATTCTTGTAGATTGTGACAATAGGAAAGATTTATTTATTTAGCTTGTTGTCAATTGCCTTTTGTCTTGTTATTAAAAGTGACTGGGGAAACCCAGCAGTGTCACAACTCCAAAGTTATCTGATATAGTTTGTACAAAACTTTTATGAACAATGTTTACTTGTAAAATGTAATAAAATGTGACTCTATATTAAAAGCTCTCTCTGAAGCCTGCAATCTCTCTTTGTCTGTGGTTCCCTATTTGTATTCAGTACATTCATGTGTGTCTGTATACTATATTTGGTTGCGATTACAGATAGAAATCAATGTCCAATATAAAATGTGTGCAAAAATTCCCAGCACTTTTTTTTTTTAAAACAGTTTTTCCCCCCTTATTGAAATAAGTGTATATTTTTTGATATCTCATGGGCCATTCACCCAAGAAAGTATTTTTCTATCTATAATCAGTGAAAAGATTTGGTTTCCATCCTGCCAGATGGACTTTAAAAGATTTGAAAATTTGTTTAAATAATACAAGTGGAGTGATTTATATTGAATTAATTGCTAGTTCTGCTACTGTATCGTGCCAGACAATTTTTCTTGTCAGAATCCATTTACACATTTATAAATTTACCATTTAATATTGCTGTATTACCTGGTCTGGTGCTCCGACTATATATTTCAAGATTCTCAACAAAATCCAAAGAAGAGTCAGTAATGTCATTGGTTCCAATGTGGCATCACAACTTGTCATTTCCCTACCACTGTGATGTAGCTTCCACATGTCTATAAATATTTCTGTGGCAGTTGTTCTAATAAGCTCTTCTGCTTGGTACCTCAACCACATGAAGTTAAGCACTCTACTAGATTGGTAACTAGGCCTCACTGTTTTACTGTTGAAATGACATGCAACCCTAAGTTCTGTTCTAATCATTTTTTTCTTGCACTTCTCACCTGTGGAACTCTTATGATTTTTTTTTTTTTTTATTTCTCTGCCACCCACAATCTTCCAAAGTTTAGATGCAGCATCGGTTGCTATCTTCTGTTTTCCTAAACCCTGTTCTTTTATTGTTCTTTCTTCTTGCTAAGGTCTTTTCATTCTCTCCCAATATCCCCTGGTGTCTTAGTAGTGGCTTATAGCCATGCTTGGGATGAAATGATGGGGGGGGGATTCTTTTTCCAAGGAAAGTTTGAAAATTATAGATTTATTTTTCCCTTGACAATCTTCAAATATATTTCTACAAAGTGTATGCAAAAGTTCTCAGCCTGACCTTTTTCCTAAAATATGACCCATATCAATTACTTTTATTGTTTTGAAAGGCCCCTTGGTAGGCTTTATGCCTTTTCAGTACCACTTCATACTACTTGTTTGCCTAATAAATACTTTATCACAATCAAAATGATGGTAGCTTTATGCCTCTGATTAAACAAAAGGCAATATTTATTTGCCATGAAAATCCAGCATTGGTTTTTAGCTTTGAGATCAAAGAAAAAAATTAAATTCCAGAAATCATCCATTTTCAATTATTCCATGGGCTCTCCTAATGGTAAATATAAAAGCATAAAATTCTTTTGTAGATATTTTTATGTCTATCAAATAATTAATATCCAAAGGAATAAATCTGCAATATATATATATATATATATATATATATGCAGCATGTTTTCATTGATTTATGTTTTGCTGAATAATTTAGACATATCCTGTTTACTTATTTTCAATTGGATCCTTTCATATTCACAAATAAGCTTTTGGGTGTTATTGGAGGATGAGAGAAAGTTGCCATGTTGATATGTATTTCTTTTATTCCGAGTACTTTTGACATACCACTGTGTCATCATCAGGGTATTGTTTATTGCAAGCCAAATATTGTAGTGTTCATTATTGTCAAAGTAAAAAATGTTGTGTTCATCTGAGAGTTAAATTTCTAACTTGTGGTGTGGGTTAGGTTGAACTTTCAGATAAAAATAAGTAGACAGAATGTCTAAATTATTCACTGAAATATGTCTCGATGAAAACATGGTGCCAATATATATATATATATATATATATAATATTAGTGGTTAATATATACACACACATTATATTTCTAAGAGGATAGAATCCAGGTAGAACTCCATGTCCAGGACAGAGTAAGAATATAGTAAAAAGGCTAATAATAGTAATAGTAAAAAACACTAATATTCCATGGTTATAATTTATTACATTGGAATTGTAATTATGATCCAATTCATCGGACCTACAAATTCAAAAAATAATCTTGGCCACCATTATTGGCACTCTTTCAATTATTGCAATATCTTCAAAAATAAGTGGAAAAGAACCAAATTTATATTATCAGAATTTTTTAATTGATTGTCAAAGTAATTTCACATATTTTTTCTCAACTTGTAATTTCAAAGAGTAAAAAGAAAGAAAACATGATATAGATAATAATAATAATAAAGGCAACCCTCCTTCATATGTGGTTATGATGGCTGCCTTCATTTGTTTTTATATCCTGGATATGATGATAAACTACAACCAGCAGCAAGACATCTGTTCATGGGGTTTTAAGGAACGTGGAGCCACCTCTTAATTGCTGTTGTTCCCAGGTCGACCATGATCCAGGGTGGTAGCACCTGTTAAGGTCCCAACTATTGGCATATAGATCACCCCCAAACTGGGGTCAAAACACATTTTTATAGCAAAAGAATTACCATCAATATATTTTTAAAAAAAAATAAAATAAAAATATTACCAGCAATATATTTTGTAAAATTACTAATGCTCTCAAGAAAATTAAATTTCATCATTAAATGACCCATAAGGAGTTGATATGCCAGTAAACAAACAAATCATTTGTTTCTGGTCGCTATTTATAAGTTTCTTGCACTTCTCAGCTGGTATTTTCTTCCACTTTTCCTTAATAGTTTGTTCAAGCACTTGAACATTTGCAGAATTCCTTTCCCCAATAGAAGTTTTCAACTGACTCCATAGATTTTCATTAGGATTGAGATTAGAACCTGTTGCTGTCCAGCTTAAAACAATTCATTTCTTCCTTTTCAACCATTCCTCTGTTTTTCTTTTTTTAGATGTGTGCTTTGGGTTGTTATCTTGCTGGTGACCCTATGATCTTCAACTCAAACCTAGTTCTCTTGCACATTTTGCTTTGAAATCTCTTGGCACTCCTCAGATTTCCTAATTCTTGTGATAGGATAAAGGCCTCCAGTTCCAGATCAGCAAAGCCATCCCACAACATTATGGATCCTCCACTATGTTTAGTTGTTGGTAGGGTGTTCTTTCCCTTATAAATTTAATTTTGACAGCTTTAAACAATGTCTGTGTGAATTGCCAAAAAGCTCTAGTTTTATTTTGCCTGGCCATTTTTTTTTTTTTTTTTTTTTTAAGGTTTGAGGTTTGTCCAGGTACTCTTCGGAATTTCCTCTGATTCCCACATCCTGAGAGGTTCTTGATAGTTCCATGCTTAGCAAACTACTGATTAACATTGCTTGCTGTTGAAACAGGGATACCTTGGTGGTAACTTTATACCCTTTTGATATGTCTTGGAAAGGGATATATTTTGTTCGAAGAAGTAAAGTGGTTGTTGACTACTGTAACCGGGTAGGACAATCTAGCAGGTAACCATAATGGACTGGTCTTCATCATAGTGGTAGGCAATAGGCATAGGCAATAGGTGAAGACAATAAGCATAGCTCATGTACCTCCACATCAGTCTGTATTTATGGCTGACACCAGCCAATCATATTGCTGTGAGGGGGGAATGCAGGTGTTTGCATATTCATTACATTACCTTTAGAGATTTTGATGATAATATCACATCTGATGTTCTCGAGTAGCTCCTTTTGATTTCACTATTGTGACAAATGAACATGGAATAACATGTGGCCTTGTAAAATATTGAAGTCACTCATTGGCTAATTTCTGTCATGTGGGCACTGACAGTTTGATGGTGATTGTGATTTCTGATTTATCATAGGTGAGTCAGAATGGTTCCCCACCTCTCTCCACTTTTTTTAAAGAATTCCAATACCAGTTTCACAGTAATCTTTCAGTTTTTCTATTTTTCCTCCCATTGCTTTTTTTTTATAAACTTGATGTTTTATCATTTGTTGTTTTTTATCAACCATGAGTTATCAATAGACCAAAACTGTTTCACTAGATTTGTCGTTGGGATACTCAGTACTTTATGTACTGAAATTTTATGGGTGCCAATAATTTCATGAAGCCTATATATGTATAGGCAGCAATCCTTATTTTATACAAGTTACATTAAAAATAACTTACAAAGTACTGCAATTAAGCGTTTTATTTAATTTTTTTTCTTATTTTCATATAAGTCTTTTCTTTTCTAGACCTAAAGTTTGTAAAAACTGTATCTGCTGTATATCCAAGCATGGTCAGATATTCTATTAGCCATTATTAAGGATGTTTTTTTTATTTTTAATTGAATGTGTAGATTTTTTTTATGTTTCTAGAGTGTTTCTTTTCCAAACACAGTCAGCATATTGTGACTGTTTCACTGTATTACAGCTCTTAAGTGTGGCTCGATGTCCATTTGCTTCAAGCTTAGATTTGGCATCAGTTAGAGATTCTACCACTAAGCTATTGTCGCACAAAGGGAAATTTTAACATTTTCTATGCAAAAAACGGCAGTGGCCCGGAGAGCTCAATTCAATTAGCTTGAAAGCAGTGCATTAATATATATATATATATATATATATATATATATATATATATATATATATATATATAATGTGTGTGTCGTTACTAGGTCCTGGACTATTCAATTTGATATTGTCAGCATTTTCAAGATGGAATAGATTGCAAATGATTTTTCCTTAACTTGATTCTTATTAAATCCAAAAAACTCAGCTATTGTCCTGCATTCAGCTTGACACACATTTTGAGGATGTGATTATAAATTAAATTTATCAACTACTTTGAAATGAGTATCAAGAAAAATGTCCTTGGGTCCCAGAAACCACATAGCACCATAACACTCTCTCTTCATTTTATATAATCAGTTTACTTGTCAAGTAAATTTCAATTGGTTGAAATAGAACTTGGCAATTTTAGTATACATGAAGGTCAGCTTCAACCATATATTCTATTTACTGAGCTGATCTTAAGTTGGCTCAGGTCAATCAGACTAGTTCACTAACCATTACCTAATATTGAAACTCATTGTAACTTTAAAATAGTTGAGTCTAGGAATGCCTAGAAACTAGTATTGGGTGTTTGTGTGTGTGCACACATGTTCCTGTTTAAATTTTACTTGTTCAAATTTATTAGCTTTTTTATTTATCTATGCCAATATGGCTGATGGAAAAGAGATTCTTTATTCTTTTTATTTTTATTGAGGGGAAACAATGCTGTTATTAGCAGTTAACAAACTTGGAGTTATCTCCCTTTTGAAACATTTTTCTTAAGTCAGTTTTTACTTTACAATTATTTGGAATCTGCTGGAAATTGTTCTGGGGAAGAAGCTGACTGGGTGGAACTTATTCCTTATGAAAGTAACACAAAGGGAATGGGGATGATTTGCCACTCGTTAGCATGGCATGGTGGGTTGTATCTGTGAGGGTCTGAACTGGTGGAACTGAAAAATGTAACTCATTTGAACATCTGCCATAGCAATACTGATAGAGTAGTAAAAGGCTAGCAACATTTTGTCAGGGGAATAGGGTTTGCAAGGTGGAAAATAATTCATTACCCACAAGTCTGTGTAATTGCTTTCAAACTTTTGTCAAGGTTGGACAGTGCAAACTGGGTGGCAGTCATGGTAGCAACACTATATTTTGTTTGATGCTTCTTGCATTGAAATAATTTGAAACTATTTTAAATCAACCTCATTTGATGACTTACTTCACCATTGCCAAATCTTTTTCCTGAAGTATGGATAGAATTTTCTCTTTTCTTTTTTTTCTCTTCTCCCCACTGCCTTTTCTCCCATTTCCTCCTTCCCCACTGCCTTTCCCGTCTTTCCCCCACTGCCTTTCCCGTCTTTCCCCCACTGCCTTTCCCGTCTTTCCCCCTCTTCCTTTTCCGTCTTTCCCGTCTTTTCCCCCGTCTTCCCCCCCTTCCTTTTTCCTTTTCCCCCTCTTCCTTTCCCGTCTTTCCCCCTCTTCCTTTCCGTCTTTCCCCTCTTGCTTTCCCCCTTCTTTCCCCTCTTTCCCCTCTTGCTTTCCCCCCCCCACTTCATTTCCCCTTACATCCCCCACTTCCTTCCCCCATTTCCTTTCCCCCTACTTCCTTTCCCCCCACTTTTGTATTGCATTCTAACTTGAGTTGATGATGGGTTTTATTAATTTTGCCTATTTGTGTTGACCTGCACACAAGCATATAACATGTTGCAATCACCTTCATCTTCTTGCCATATTTTTTTCAGGATGGTTGTATAACAATGGAGGAGTATTTAGTGTGGACAGTCAATAATACGTTATCAGAAGATTTACTTAACCTTCTCAGTCAAGTAAGTACATAAATTATGTCTATATGGTTGTATCAGAAAGTTCCTAGACAAGTGCAGATGTTCTAATAGATAACCGCTTGGAATGAGAAATCGGAGCGCCAAGTTTGAATTCTGGTTGAGTTTATTGCATTCACTTGCATGCAAATACCACTGGAAAAGATAGGAATCGACATCCTCCCCTAGCTATGGGTTAAATTGGATTTGTTTCTACAAAAGCATTGTTATTCTCAAAAAGATGTTAATGCAATATTCACTCACAAAAGAAAAATTATTCTTACAATCTAAAATATGTTTTGGCTTGAAATAGCCCACAAAGGTTTAAGCTGTAAAAAAAAAAAAAAATCAATGAATCAATTTTACAAAAGGTGTAAAAAAATGTTTAAATTTGGGCCATCATCCTTTTCAGAAATAGCTCACCTTGGGGAACATATGCAGGATAAACTTTGCAACAACGTAATTCATGAGGATGAAGATCTGGTCTTTTACTGATGTTTACTTACATCTGAGCACTAATCTTGAACCATCACTCAAAAAGTCTTGAAACACAAGTGCCCCTGAAAGAATATCTTGCTAAAATGCTGATGAAGCATTTTGATGGCTTTGTTTAACAGGTTTGCCAAGTTTGGAGCAATGTAACAGGGCACTGGCACTTTTTAAACATTTGTTAGATATCACAGTGATAAAGGGTTGTGAACAGCAATGGGTTACAGCAGTATTTTGTGCAGGCAGGTTGCTCAAATTTGTCAGCCATATTAAAAAAACACAGTCATTCCAACACAGATAACCTCATGTAATAAAATATGGCTATGTCCTACCTAAACAGTTGGCTGACTGACATGGTCAGATGAGTACCAATAAGTGTTAACTGCATGCAGTTCTGTTGAACCATAGCAGATACAGTTTGGGTACTTTCAAATACAACATGGTGTGTATGAATATATTTCTCATTGCTATAAATGTTTATAGTCAAGAGAAATAATATTAGATTTAAAAAAAAAAATCCATTAATTGCTTAAATTACTTTGTTTATGCCTCGATTACAAAATATAAGTTAGCAGATAGACAAGTATCAACAAGAGATATGTGCAGAAGAAATCCACTAACCTTGAAAAAAAGCTGAAGGCATGTGCCTGTCTGTCATTAGCCTCATGATGCAAAGAAAAACTCGAGCTCATTCTGTCTGTTAAAACAAAAAAAGGTTGATGGATGAGTCCAGATGTGCTACCTAAGGAGTTGGAATAGTGTATCTGCCTTTAAATGTATATGAAGGGAATGGCAGTGAACAAGTGTCGATATGAAAAAGGTCGATTGCAAACATAGTGGATTTGCGACTATTTGGTTGTGTGAAATTTTGATAGTTTTATTTTTACCACAAGCTGTACATTTCTATTGCATGTCTTGCTCAAAGATGGTTTCTCAGAGAAAGGGAATGTGAGTTCGATTTCTGCCAAGAGATAGATTTTCTTTAAAATGAAACTTTTGATGACCTAATGTTATACTGAAACACACCTATTCTATAGTTAATAGACTCTCCCACCTATAATAAGTAGTAGTAGCAGTCGCTAAGCGAGTCACTCAGTGAGTTGGTCAGTCAGTTGATGTCGGACACTAAGAGTATCAGCGACCACCACTAGATTTCTCTGCGTCATTACCTATTATATCAAGTTCCTAATGTTTTGTACGTCGAACCTTTTTAGGACCGACTTAGTGAAATACAAGCCTCCACTGTGAAACTACTCTACAACACCTAGTCAGCTAGCTCAAACATTCATGAGTCTATCACGAAAACCATCATGGTGGAAAAGTCATCTGGGTGGCATTCTATGTCATGACATAGCTGGTCAATGTAGTTGAATGCAGGGTGACCAACTCGTCTTGTTCCATGTCTATATGTCCAGAGTAGTAGATCACTCACAAGTTCTTGTTTTGCTCACTAGCAGTGTCCTGTAAAGTGTATTCTGCATTTGAATAAGATTGTAGAACTATCAGGGATGGCTCCATAGAGCTGTGATTCAGTTAGATGTTGTCTCCATGTGATGTTATATATATTGAATATGTCACTTATTTTATCGTTCACCAGCAAGAAATCTACAAGAAACTGCAACACAGCCGGCATCATTTATTGTCTTATTATGGATGGGATTTAGTTGGGTGTGTCTCTGTGAGATGTTAAGTATAGCTCTCAGCATCCAAGTGTAGGTTCCATAAAAACTTACACTCTAGGGTATTTAGTTAATGTCCAGGCAGTGGTACCATATATTAACACAGCCTCTATAGTAGCTCAAAAGAATATCTGCTTGTGGTTGCCTGGTAGATCAGATTTCCATATTACATCTGTTTTATTTAGGTACCTCCACGAAATCGCTAAAAAAAGAGCATAGCTTGTTGAAAATGACGCCAACCTTGCCGAAAACTAAATATTATTGTCTAAATGCTTATGTTATTATTAAGAGGAAAGACCAAAGTTTTTTTTTTAATTATTTTTAAAAATTTTCCTTCTTTTTAGAACATTCTAAATTTTGATTAAAAAACCTTTTTCTATTTGTATCAGCAGAACTAGTAAATAACATAGACAATTTTTAGCACGTTTTTTGGTATGACACACATTAATTTGAAAAATCGTGCAAAAAATAGAAATAATTATCGGATGTTAATGAAACTTTCAGGAACTATTCGCAGATGATCGAAATTATTATAAATATGTTTTTTTTATGAAAGTCATGGTAGAAATATTTTTTTAAAAATATTTATTACCCCCCCCATAACTAATTTTATGAAAACGCCAGAAATTGATCAAGCATAGGTTTTAGTGATTACAATAATTAAAAGCACAGAGCTTTGAGGAATGCAAATCATGTTTTTTTTGCTTTTTAATTGGATACGCAGTACCTGAAAATCAGCTCTGAATTGTAACATACAAAACTCAATAAAACAAAGATATTATTTAATTTCAAATGCTTTTATTTGCTTTTTCGTTGTTTTTATGAATATGGACAATATTTTCTGAAAGCAAAAAAACTTTTTCAATGAAAAATGAATTTTTAATACAATTATTTGTTATTTCATTAATTATAATAGATTTTACATTTAAGTTGTTAAAATATTATAAAATTAGTTAAAAGCTGCATCGGCTTTCATAAGTGTCCTTATGAGATACATCTTTTTTTTTTTAGCGTTGTAAATTGTATCATTTTGACTAATCAGAAGATCCCCAGTAATTAAGAAATGTAATTTTGTGCTTATAATCGAGCTGTAATTATAAAATACGGAAGACCAACCAGAATATAATTAAGTTGCATTATTTGAGTTAAGCATTGTTCTCCGCTGTTAAGGCCTTTACTTTTTGTAAACACGTGTGGAGAAGTTAATTTGATTTTTCAATTTCAACTGAGAAGGGTACCTACAAGTATCAGTATCATCTTATGAAATTTATATGATCTTATTTTTATATTAATCTCAGTTACGACATTTTTCCATAAATGAAATATCAAAATTAATAATAAAATGAATGCAAATACAAATAACAGTAGAATGTAATAAATGTACATACAATTATCGTATTTTATGTACAATTCTGATAAAATCTCATAAGAAAGGTACCTATAAATTAATTAGATACCTTTCTTAAGAAATATGAAATTTAATGTCACTCTTAACAGTTTTATTTTAATTTCTTTTACAATATATTTCCCATAAAGCATCATAAACGTAAAGGTGAACGCTAAGTACAAAAAAAAAAAATTAGACCGCTGAAAGTTTTTGTTAAAAATAACGGGTAAATAATTTGTTCACGTAAATGTAAATTATTTCACTTTTTCTCCTTCCAGAGAACAAATTAGCCTCATGGAATTCGTAAATATATCATTCATCACATGTCAAGAGACGCGAAAGTTTATGACCTGCTTTGTTTTATTTTCAAATTACATCTTTTTGGCACAAAAAGCTAAGTTAAGTTTGGTTCAAAATATTTTAAATAAACATTATAATTTCTGATTTTCTTAAAATAAGTTTTGAAAAATGATAATTGATATTTAAAAAATTTCAAAGTCAGATTTCCATTTTTTTTTAAATGGAAAAAAAATGGTCAATTTTGTTGACTCAAAAAAAAAACTACATTTTTCACTTAAAATTTTGGACGTGCTAGGAACGATTAAAAATGGAAAAAATACCCCAAAAATACTTTTGACCTTTCCTCTTAATAATAACAAACATTTAGACGATAAAATTTTGTTTTCGTCAAGTTTGGCGTCTTTTTCATCATGCTATGCTCTTTTTTTAGCGATCTCGTGGAGGTACCTAGTTTTATTCAAGGTGGCTCAGGCTTTAGCTATGTGAATTTTCACATCCTTTTCTGTAAAATTTATTTCACTTTCCATGTATGTAAAAGATTCGACATATTATTCATTCACCTGAGACAGTTTGTATTGAGCCTTGCTGGTTGAAGCTTCTGAATTCTGTTTTAATAATTTCATTGATTGTAAAAAAAGAAAAAAAAAATCACAAACAAAACAGCATGTCTACACAAGCACATGTATTGACTAAATATAACATTTATAGTAAAAAAAAATGTTGGATCCACAAATTGCTTGAGTGTGTGTTTTTGTAACATAATTTATTTGACCATTATTTGCACCTTATGCCTTTCATGCTATAAATGACTATAGTTGACCATAAATGAAATATAAACATATTCAAATTTTGTGAATTTCTCATTTTTTTTCTTCAAGTTTCCGTGTATTTTGCAATGTTCATGGTTAAAGATTTACTTTCAAAACATCATTTAAAATCTTTATATAAGGTATTAATGATCTTATACAACTCACAACTGTAACAGACTGTGACAACAAAGCAGAAAATCAAGTCTTATGTTGGAAAAAGAATTCATGTTCTTTGTGCTATCTGTTGACAAAGAAAATCTGAATCAAGATCAGGTCAGGCCTCAAGATATGGTAATTGTTTGTGCTTCCCAATCAGTCTTGACTAATCACAACTTTTCTTAC